TTTACTTAATTAAAAACACGACTTAAGTCTAAAAGCGCATTAATTTATTTAAAATATTCACGAATATAAATATAAAATACAATTTTTCTTATTAAAAAAAATTGTACAATTATATAATACAATTTACAAAAATACAATTTATCAAAAAATTAGAGAATTTTTAGTGAAAAAATACACAAAAAAATTTAACACTTGAATTCATACACAATGAAGACTCCAAACAGATTTAAACTGAAAAAGCGTGCGATTTCACAATTACGTACAAAAAATAATGACAAAAATAAGATTCCACTATCCAAAAACATAACAAAAATTCCGGAAAAAATGATATTCCACAATCCAAAAAATAGGCAAAAATTTCAAAAAATAATATTCCACGATCCAAAAACAGGGCAAAAATTCCCCAAAAAAATAACATTCCACGATCCAAAAACAGGGCAAAAATTCCGGAAAAAATAAGATTCAACCATCCAAAAACAGGGCAAAAATTCCCAAAAAAATAAGATTCCACGATCCAAAAACAGGGCAAAAATTCCCAAAAAAATACGATTCCACGATCCAAAAACAGGGCAAAAATTCCGGAAAAAATAAGATTCAACCATCCAAAAACAGGGCAAAAATTCCCAAAAAAATAAGATTCCACGATCCAAAAACAGGGCAAAAATTCCCAAAAAAATACGATTCCACGATCCAAAAACAGGGCAAAAATTCCGGAAAAAATAAGATTCAACCATCCAAAAACAGGGCAAAAATTCCCAAAAAAATAAGATTCCACGATCCAAAAACAGGGCAAAAATTCCCAAAAAAATAAGATTCCACGATCCAAAAACAGGGCAAAAATTCCCAAAAAAATAAGATTCCACGATCCAAAAACAGGGCAAAAATTCCGGAAAAAATAAGATTCAACAATCCAAAAACAGGGCAAAATTNTTTCAACTTTCTTTTCGTGTTTCGTCTATTGACGTATTGCAATAATGGCATGGTGATAAATCGATACATCTCCCTTCCATCCCCTTCCTTCTTTTTCATTTCTAACCCCGTAATGGCGACTTTATCAATTTTATAACTGACAAAATTCTGATTTTTTTCAAAAATATAAATATTATTTTATATAAATCAATCATCTTTATTAGCCTGCATCATCCGCATCATCATCCTTCTCCTGTGTAAAGTATACATAGAAAGCGTTAAGTAAGCCGGAGAAAACTTCGATTTTTAATTAATTAAAGCACGAAATAATAATAATGTTTATATAATTTATATTACTACATATTTATTTTTAATTTTAAACCTGTTTTTTTATTAAAAATTTTATTAATTTTAATAAAAATCCTCTAATTTTTCATCCGAAGTGTATATCGATTATTGTAGTTTTTAACGCGAAATTTCTACTTTTATTTTAATTTTTAATGCGAAAAAAATATAAAAATTTATATAAATAACAATTTAAAATGTAAAGATAATTAAATTTTCTTAGAGAAATTGTTTAAAAATAGAAACAAGAAGATAAAAATATAAAAAAAGACCGACTTTTTTGCAAGAAGAAAGAGAGTTTCTGATGAAGAGGAGAAAGCTAAAAATAATTAATTTGCCATTCATGCTATTTAAATAACTTTCAATTAACTTTTTTCTTGTTAAAAATATCCCTGAAATATGCAAAAATTTATGAATTTATGATAATTATAAGCCTTTTTTTAAACAATAAAACATATAAAACATTGTATAACGCGCAAATAGTTGACTGCAATTTTAGTGCTTTTCTCACGTAAAAAAGTCAACTTTTTTTATAATTTTACATATTTTTTTAATTATTTTTATTTAAAATAGCTTAAAAATTAACAAAATTTGATAATTTTATTCAAATTTTATCATATTTTTAATAAGAAAAAAAATAAATTATATGATTTTAAATAGAAACTGCGTATCTCGCAAATAGATAATTGAGTTTTTTTAAAGAAAAAAAAACGTCGAAATTTCTTAAAAATTGGTATTTCCTTTAATATTTTTAATTAAATATCTTTAAAATTTATAAAAATTTACGAATTTATAATAATTATAATCGTATTTTTAACTAGAAACCATATAAGACATTGTATAACGCGTGGAGTAGTTGACTGCAATTTTAGGACACCTTTTTATAGGAAAAAATACAAAATTCTTAAGAATTGACAGTTTATTTTATATTTTAATTAAAATATATTAAAAAATTAATCAAAATTTTACAAATTTATAACTATTTTTAACGAGAAAATACACGAAAAACTATATAACACGCTGCAATTTTACTGCATTTTTTCAAAGAAAAAAAAAGTCAAATTGTAAAAGTTGACATTTTATATTACTTTCCGTTTCCTTTCCAGAGATTTTCTTACCTCCAGGACATTCAGAATCGTGAACAAATTCTGTAAAGTCGAAGAAGAAGAAGAAGAAGAAGAAGAAGGAAGAGGGAGGGAAAAAAATATGCTTTACGACAGAATAAACTTATCAAAAACTTATTCAATATTTTATTACTCGTCTGTCCATCACGTCATATTTATTCTTAATTTAATTCTTAAGAGGGGATTAAATAAACGATCAAATTTCGGTTACGTGTTCGAGTGAAATTTTCTCGTTTACGACCCTTTGAATGTTGTGTAACATTTGACCTTCGAGTTTAAGATTTACTTACGATTTTGCAAGTAATATTTTCTACTTTTTGAATAATTTATGAGTTATTTTTTAGTGTAAACGTACTCAAAATGTGTTAAACAATCGAGAAAAAAACGTTTCGTAAACGTTTTTTTTTCGCACAAACAACCGTCTTTCTTGTCCAAATTTGAGTAAATTTAACCGCATTTTTCTACTCTTTCTGAGTATAAAATTGCTATTTTTTTATTTAAACGTAGTTAAATACGTTTATATTATATTATTTTCGAGTTTTTAAGTGTTTTAATTAACTTTTACGTACGCAAAAACGCGTTATATCTAGGTATCTTCAAACGGAGATACGCTTTAACGAGGGTTTTCTACATTTAAAAACGTCATTCCGAGTGTAAAAATGTTAATTTAGTAACTTTTAATACGCGTATAAAATGCAATTTTATTAATATTTTATGGTAAAAAAAAAACACCAAAAAACACACACAAACTTCTGTAAATTGTTTAATCAAACAGGAGCACAAAACTAAAGAAATTTTAATTAAAAAGTTTATTTAGAAAAGCAAAATCTACCGAAAGTATTTATGTGACGTAGGATGGGATATAAAATAGGTCATTTAAACAATTACGTTACAAATATTTGCCCATAGAAGGTCCCCTGCTGTTGACGATAAAGCCTGCTTCTCCCCTGTGTCACTAAATGCTATGTGGGTGGCAGGTACTGTAAACAAACAGTACATCTTTACCCCTGACATTTACACCATCCGGGTCAGGTTATAGTGACCAGTAAACTGCTCTAGTGGCTACTGTGAATCCCAAGATGACAAGCAATATCATATACGCTAAGAATTATGGTTCCTATATAACTAAATTTTTATTAAAACTGTGTAATATTTATCCTCACAGAGAACTATTGTTTTAAAGGGGGAATACATACATATATATATAGAAAGGGGGGAAGTAGTATAAACATACTTATAGAAGGGTACTTCGTAGCACTCGTGAATGGCTCCAGTGTGCTGCCATCACTCCCAAATGTGGATTAATCTTTTCTAACAGCAAAAGTTACATTGTTTCTGGTGTTAGTTGAACTTTTCTACCCTTTATTTACCTTCAGAACTTTGTCAAAGAAGGTTTTTGTTTCCTTTCCTGTCTTGTTTTCGCTCCCTCCAACAGTGTAGCTCTTGTTTCTAATGCATTGATTAAGCTGTTTTTGTCGGAATAATGCGAGGTTTTCTGTTGTGTCTATGCTCGAAACTCTTCTGTGCTTCGAAATAATAAAGCGTAATCGAGTTTGAGGTCAATTAAATGCAATTTTATGCTCGTAATGAGCATAGGAATTCATTAATTGTAACTATGAATTGGTATGTTAGTAAGATAGTAATGAACACAGCTTATGCTTTAAAATGATGTTTCAGGGAGTATAATGCCCTCACAAGTATAATATTACTGAGAATAAAAGGTAAATATGCTTATGAGAGAGATTCTATATACAATAGGAGGAGATACTTTTGTGGAAAAGATGGCTTTTTAACGTTAATAAACGTATTAAAATCATATTTTACAATCTGTTTCTATCTTCCTTGTGCTATTTTCTAGTCGAAAATTTGTTTGAATGTATAAATTTATGAAGTAATCTTACTCATACAAATTTTTTATTCGTTAAAATATCCTGGTGTTAACTCAATTTACAAAGAAATAAAAACAAATACTCATGGAAATTAAACTCAAAAATATCAGAAAAAAAAATTAAGGAACTACAAACATCATTGAAACTCAAAGGAGAATAGAAGAGAAGGGATTTCTTCAAGTTAACATCTGATTCTACTTACACACAGAGAGAATCCTTAAAAAATGTGAAGTAATCACACACGTATACTCACAAAAACATGTGCTTACAAATTCTCCTCATACCCCATTACAAATTTCTCTCACACTCTCTTATAAATTTCTCTCACAATCTCTTCCAAATTTCCCTCACACTCCCTTATAAATTTTTTTCACATCCTTTTACAAATTTTCCTCAAATTCTCTTCCAAATTTCCCTCATACTCCCTTACAAATTTTCCTCACATCCTTTTACAAATTTTTCTCAAATCCTCTTCCAAATTTCCCTCATACTCCCTTACAAATTTTCCTTACATCCTTTTACAAATTTCCCTCAAATTTCCCTTACACTCTCTTTCAAGTTTTCCTCACACCCCATCTATCTAAGGAGTTACTCATACGAATACATAAAAAAAGCATCCCCTTACACACTGATAACAATAGAAAAGTTGAAGTAATCACACGGATATTTACAAGAATCACCCTGACACGGAGGTAGAGACTATAGCGAAAAGGTGAAGTGAAGCAATACTTACAGACGTTGAAGATTCGGTGTGGTACTCAGTAGCATGTCTGGAAGTATCCTTAATTCGTTGTTATTTAATCTTCTACAGGAGAGGGGAAAATTAGAATTAAAAAAAAATTATATATATAAGATATATAAGTTTTAAAAAAAAATTAAACTTTAATTTTTATATTATTTATTCTCTATAAACTGTGTAGAATATATACACATTTAAACATAAATATATATATTTTTCCCCCTGTGGTAAATGAATGTTAAAGGAAGAGATTGCTCATGTCTTATGTAGAAGCGCAGACATCAATAGTTGTGTGCAACAATCATTTGAATTATTGAAAGTAGAAACCGAGCAATCGATCAAGCTGAAACATTTATATACCCTCTGTAACTAAGATTAAATATTTTAATACCGAATCTACTTTATTATTCTCTTTCTCTTTTTCTTAATGTTCTTTTATATAAATACGAATTTCTGGTAAAAATAACAAGAGAAAAATCATTTTTTAATATAATTAATTGCTTGTTTTTATTGTTAATTGACTAAAAAATTTTCATTTTTTTCACTCGAAATTATCGAGAATTTCGTGTGGGGATTTTTTTCTCCCTTGGTTTTTTTTTGGTTTGTTTTAGGGATTTTTCGTTTAGGCAAAATTTCTTTCGGGATTTTTCGTTTATGCAAAATTTCTTTCGGGATTTTTTTCTGTTAATATTTCGATACAATAGAAGCAATGTATTAAATTTAATCTAATTTTTGCTTGAATTTTTAATTTTTTTTAATTCTAAATTATCAAGAATTTCGTGTGGGGATTTTTCGTTTATATAGAATTTTTTGGGGGATTTTTTGTTGTTTCTAGTTTGTTTGAGGGATTTTTCAATTTTACAGAATTTATTTTGGGAATTTTTCTGTTTGTTAGTATTTAAAAACAATAGAAATAACGTACAAAATTTCATTTTATTCTTAAGTTAATTAAAATTTTGTTTTTCCCTACAAATTGTTAAGAATTTTTGTTTGAGGATTTTTCTCTAACTTCTTCCAGAGATTTTTCTTTTCGGTAGAAATTCTTTTAGCAATTTTTAATGAGAAATTTTGTGTTTAAAACATTAAAAATTATAAAAACGACTTATAACGCTTCATTTTATTTCTATTTTTATTTAAATTCTGTATTAAATTCTAAATTATCCTTGAGTAAATAAATTGTTGAGAGTATTTCGTGTAGGGATTTTTTTTACTTTCTTCCTGAAATTTTTTCCTTTTTTTTAGGGAATTTTACGTAAAATTTTCTATTTTATTTTTTACATTTTACAAAATATTCTTAAAATATTTTTAAATCGTTTAAACTTAATTTCAAATTTTCAACGATGATTTTGAATTTATTCTCTTGTATATTCACGAATAAAAAGATATTCAGATACTTAAATAAAACGAAAATAACATTTTTTTTTAACTAGAAAGAATGTAAAAATCCTCCCTATAAAACTGGAAGAGATGATATTTTCTTAGAAAGTCAAGAGTTATGCAGGCAACTGTAGCATGTCCACAGCATCCTTCAGTTATTTCTTTCTAAGAAAGCAATTGTCTCTGTAAATAAAACAAAATAAATGTGTTGGAGAAGAGGAGACGAACGAGAAAGGATACACCTCCATTGATTGCAAACAATTATTTATTTACGCTGGCAACAATTGCAACAACTTGTTGATTTATCAAGTAACTTCAACGTCTAACTTTGACTTTCCTAACGATTTACCAATCTTTAAAGCACACAATTAACTAAAATTTGGGATTAATATGACTTATACGAACTCGATATAATTATCTCTGTTAACGGGAGGAGGGGTGTAAAGCCTCGTATAAATTCTCTTCTCGCACCTGCCCAATCAATGCCCCTATAAAAACCATTATTCTTAGTCCCTGTCTACATTGTCTCGCAGAAGAGAGTGACAGATAGGAGCCATCTGCCTGTGCAACCATTCATCTGACCAGTTATCTCAAGAATGCGAATTCGGCGTTTCTTATACGCACCATCGATTTTTCCTCCTATGGATTCTATATAAGATTGGGATGAGGAAAACATCTACACCTATCTTCATTTTTCATTGATAAGAATCTGTTCTGGAATGAAGTAGATAAAGGGGTTTTTACAAAACAACATTTTAAATTTCTCTCTTTCTTCCCCCTTATCCTATATATGTATATAAACACACACATCCCTCGTATAGAAAGATTTTGCTCTTGAGCATCCCTTATCCATTACACTATCATAGTTCATTCAAGGATGCAAAACGGAAACACTATCATAAAAATCGTAAAAGAATTAATTAATATAGAAAATTTACGATTATTTTTATAAATATTACAAAATTTTAAGACATTTATTCTTTATAAAATATGAATATTGTAATAATTGCACTAAAAAAGTAAATTTTTTTTAAAAAATAAAATAAATATTACTATATAATCGATTTGTTTATATTTATTTAATAAAAATAAATAAATTCGCATCTAATTTAAATAAATTTTAATAATTCTGAATATTTTATTAATTAAAAATAAATATTTAACTTTATGATGTTCGGCTTTCCTGCTGAGTCTATAGTGATGCAGGTAAGTTTCAATTTCAGGGGCGATGCAATTTCTCTTATATTTTCTCTCAATTTTCCGTTAATCTTTTTAAAAATCTTGATTTTATTAATATATATTTTATTATTAGATTAAAATATATTATATAATTAATATTTATCTGTTTAATTCGTGAGATTTTTGAATATATGAGAAGAAGATTCTTGATACTTTTTATACATGATTCTACTTTGTTATAATATTATTTCTTTTGGAAAAGAAGAGAGGAAAATAACTTTTTCCCGAAACTAAACACGAGATTACACAGTTGCAGTCTATAAACATACAAAGGCATACAATTGTATGCAGGAAGTATATATATATATATATATATACAGCGAATAAAGGAATCGAAGAAGGTGAGGGGAGGAGGATAGAAATCGCTTCTGCACTGCACCCTATTAAAGAAAAGAGGAGATATCTCTATGTCAAGCCAGGACAAATTCCTGTAGCCCTCCCTGGAGTTTATTACAGGCAAGCTCCCGTAAACACGCCACTTGCAGCACCACTCAAGCGTCTTTGGATGGAAGAAATTCAGCAGTCCCTACGGTAAAAGATCATAGATGCAGAAAAAAAAAAGAATTGCTTGGGCATTTCCGTACAGATATGTACACAGAGTGTGTACAATATATTGTGTTGATATAGGAAAATATATATTATATATACATATATAAAATTTAGTCTAGCTACATCAAATGAGGTAGAAGCATCTTGCTTAAAAGAGAATCATCTTTTCTTCCTGCTCTTCCCTACAGATAATTATCTCATAACATTTTACTGATGGTAATTAGCTGCGTATAGAATTTGAGAAATTTATTTTGTGTATTTTAACATAATATTTCCACTAAAAATAATTTTTTATACATATTTATATAGCAGAAACATTGCTTATCTCGTGTCCTTCCACGCTTCTAAATGACTGGAAAATGCCATTTGAAAATGTATTTTTTTAAAAATTTAAATATAAATGATGAAGAAAATGTAGTATAGTATAAATTTTCGATGATTTCTGTTAAATTTTTAACGAAAAAAACGAGGGAAAATATGCAAAAATTTCCATTTTCATAAACGAGAAAATATTAATTGTTTTCAATCATTAATCAAAGTATATATATACATTTTTTTAATGTTTATAATGGAGATAATTGCATCGATTTAAAAAATAAATAATAAAGTTAATTAATTGATGTAAATTTTCACTTAATTAACAAAAGTTTTACGTAAATAACGAATTTTGCAACTTTTTAATTATTTTCTGGAAAGAAAAGAGAGAGGAGAAGATGAAGAAAAGGAAGATCCAATTTCTTATTTTTAAAATTATTTTATAAATGATTTTATGCAATTATATAAATAAAAATCTAATTAAATTAATTTTTAAAAATTAATTTAATTAGATTTTTATTTATATAATTGCATAAAATCATTTATAAAATAATTTTAAAAATAAGAAATTGGATCTTCCTTTTCTTCATCTTCTCCTCTCTCTTTTCTTTCCAGAAAATAATTAAAAAGTTGCAAAATTCGTTATTTACGTAAAACTTTTGTTAANATAAATTAATTTAATTAAATTATCCATCTGCATCAAGGAGCAGCATCCTTATATCGAATAACGGTTATAAAATTTGAATTTTTATTAAATTAAAAAACATTATAGCTGAATTTTCGCATTAAATTTATAAGAGGGAATAAAAAAAATGAAATATTTTTGCCATTTATTTAATTTATTTTCATAGTTTCTACTTGAAAACTGTGAAATTCCAAGATTAAAGATAACCTTGGAATCTGAAACTGCTAACTAAGATAAAAGTTGTATTTATTTTGAGATATTTCTTGAAGGAAAATCTTTAAATTTCACTTTTATTTTAATTTTTAATCTGTAAGAGAAGGAAAATATTCAAATTTCTATAGCGTAAATCTTTACTTTTTATTAATAATTTATCATCAGCTTTCGCATCATCAGAATTAAATTGAAAGATAATAATCTAATGTAATAATAATTGTTTAATTATACTTATCATTGATACAAGATAGAAGAATTCACTTTATTCCCTAAAAATTCCCTAAAACATCACATTTATTTATCGATATTTATTTACAGATAAATTCCCTTTATTCCCTAAAACTTCCCTAAAACATCACATTTATTTATCGATATTTACAGATAAATTTCCTTTATTCTCTAAAAATTCCCTAAAACATTACATTTATTTATCGATATTTATTTACATAAAAATTCCCTTTATTCTCTAAAACTTCCCTAAAACATTACATTTATTTATCGATATTTATTTACAGATAAATTCCCTTTATTCCCTAAAAATTCCCTAAAACTTGTCATTATTTATTTATCGATATTTATCGAAGAATCCTCTCCTCTCGTTCTTCCTGTTTTCTAATTATTTATAGAAATTTGTAAACATTTTTCTCTTATTTTTTGTTACTTTTAACATTTAGATAAATAAATTTTAAGTTTTTTTCATGAATAAATTCGTTATAACCTGTTAAGATAACCCTCAAATGCTTTAAATAATGTTCGAGCATCACTTATCACTTCTTAAATATCTCGATTTAAAAAAGAAAAACAATAGAAATTAATGAGTTTTTATGGATAAAAGTGTAAATTTTTAAGGTTTATTATTAAATTAATAGAAATATCGCCTAATTAATGTAGGATTTTACATATAAATCTCAAAATTCCTTATCAAATTCTCAAAAATTAACAAAAAATTTAAAACCAAACTACTACAATTTTATAAGTCTCTACTCGTCTTTATCTATTGAACAACGAACAACTAATTCCTAAATTGAACCATGTTGATCCTATTTGTGCCATCACAGCCATATGATTACTTAAATGCCAGCCATTTATGTGGATTGGTCTGGATACAGTAACATTAATTAGAATATATGGATCATTGATGACTCACATCACTAACAAGAAGATTGATTTGTTCCTCGATTAACAAGAGATCTTCCAACTTATAGTATATAAATCGATGAATTATAATAATCCAAATATTAAGAAATTATTCGAGAAGAAATCTGTTTACAGGAAACTGAAATAATTTATGCAAATAGATTATTAATATGCACATAATTCCCATTATTTACTTAACAAACATGGAGGATTTATAAATATTTATTATTATTTTGGCGTATGAAATTAATGTTAAAATACAAAAAAAAACGAGATTTTTTTGGGGGGTCATCCGATAGATTAAATTGTCAATAGATTATTTTTTTATGTGACCTCTTCACATTAATGAGGAACGAGACTGGATATGGTTTACGTCACTCCATGACAAGGGTCAAAGGTCGACTGACAAATGGCTCAGTCAGGGTAGATCGACTTACCAAACACCTGCCGAGGGACGACGTTACCTGTAAAACTCCACCTGTTGACCCTGCCTACACTGCACCTAATCCTTTTTTTTAGTGTTTACCTGTGGGTCAAGCATCAGTAGAACTATGAAATATGCCAGGTGTTTAGGTTCCTGCAGGAATCACGTTGGTCAGAGATGGAGGGAAGATAAAATGGTTACGACAAATTGTCTATTAAGGCAAACCCTGTCATGACAACTGGATGAGAAATCGCAGTACTTTTCTATCTATTTACAATATTTTTCTTTCCTCCTTCTTCTTCCTTTTACAAATTTCAGGTAGGAGTTAGCAGAAGGGTGAATTTTTTTAAAAAGATTTATGAAGTTCCTACTGAAATTCGTATAAATTATTAAACTCTATTACAATAATGTTTTGTATTGTTTTACGTATTTAAATTCACAAAAATATGCCAAATTACAAATATACAATTTAATTCTTCTCGTCCTCTTGTTTCCAGGATCTTACTCGTCTTTTGTGGAAGGATTCCTCGGGAGTAAGATCCTTATTTATTCAATAAATTATCTTAGACTTCTTTTAGAATTACTGCAACATCCTAGGATCCTTTGTAAGGATAATATTCTAAATTTCTATCCAAGTTAAATAGCTTCATTCTAAATGAAATCCTAATCATTAGATTAAGAAAATCATAAATAAGAATCCTATTTATATATATAATTGTACGAGAGATCCTGATTTTTATGTATAAAGTCCTGTCTATGCAAAACTCTACGTAAAAGTCTAATAATCCTAAGTTTCTATCGAAGATAAACGACATTACTTTAGGATTTATTAGCTTCCAATTGTCTTGATTTCTCCTATTATAGCTAAACTATGATTTTATTTGTTGAAATCTCAAGAAGAATAGTAAAAAAATCGATGTATAACTCTTCAACACCTTACAAGATCCATAAAAAGTGTCTTCTAAGTCTTGCAAGATTCACAATAAGCATTTAAAGTTTATATTTTACGAGTTATAAGACCCACAAGAAGCATTTAAGATTTATAAGATCCATACAAGATATCTTTTCGTACTAAAATTACCACAAATTTTAAAGGTAGAACTGTCATTCTCGTGTTTATCAAGACAAGAAGAAGCGCCCATTAAGAGTGAAAAAACAATATAAATAATTCCTTAATTTCCTTCGTAACAAATGCAAGAAACTCGTGGTATTTCAGGTGTATCATGAATTTAATAGTTGATAAAATATCCACCCCCTCAACAGTTTTAGAACGGCACCAAATATGCTCGATTATCGTGAAAAAAAAGCGATAAAAATTCAGTTTCTTCACCTTAATTTCGGGTGGTGGAAGGTAGAAAAACCAATTTTTGGCTGGCAATCAGATAACGTTTGACCATACACAACTCACATAACCCAAAAAATACATCAAGATCAGGTACGCGGTCAGCAGAAACCAAATAATAAACGATAAGTGGAATCCTTAGGAGGTCCATCTCCGTGCCATGACAGAAGACGTTCTATCACGAGGGTCCTTACTCCCCCTACCTTCCTCGCTAGTCCCCCCCTCCCATACTCCCAAACACTCGGGGACTGAGATGATAGAAGGGCTAGGTCCCACTTTGATATATTACTCCTGGCCAAACGTCCACCCCTCGACTGGCCTCCGGTCCCACCCTGGCCACTGGCCTTATATGAGTCCTCGTGCACCTGATAGTTTGGTGAATTGAGGTGCAGCACGCTTGTATCCACTTTGATTAAAGCACTTATAATAATGGTGGCTGGAGGAATTGGATTCGGAGTTGAGGGGAAGATACGCGTGAAGGAAGGATTTTTAAAAGGATTTTTAATAGTAAAATTCGTAGAAATTATCGATTATTTTTAAAGAATTTGTTAATCTAAATTGTAAAATAACTTTAAAAAGAGTATTTTTCGTGATTAAAAAACTCGAAAATTGTGATAAAATTTGCTAAGTTAAGAGCAAAATTATGTTAAAAATTGCAATTAAATTTATTATTTCGTTAATTAAAATGAAAATAATCATAATTACGAGTTTAAATATGTTATATTTTATAATTTTTAATTAAATTTTTAAAGATTTTTACACGAGAAAAGAACTCATGTACTGTGAATTTAATGTGATAAGAGACGTTAAATTTAGCTAAAAATAATTTAATTGTAATTAATTTTATTAAAAAATTTAACTAAATTTTACACAAAGTAATGACACTTGTCTTAAATTTGAAGCAAAAATGTCTGAGAATTTCCCACCGAATGACAAGTAGAGAGAGTGATGAGTGAATGCATGCACCTTTCAGTTAATTGTGATGTAAAGATAAATATCATTATCTTAATGTTAATTACTATCATTTTATGATGATTAATTTATTACCATTTACATAAATTTGCATTTGTTAAATAGGTTACATTTAAAGAAACGTAATGAGCATTTACAGCACTGAAGAGATTCTGTGGGATCCAAGTCATATAACATAAATAAATATTCCTTATTAAATAATAATTAAATTTAAAATAAAATTAATTAAAATTATTATTAAAAATCATTAAAAATTAAAAATATATTTTATTTTTTCAAGATGAATATGGAGAAGAGATGATGAAAGTAGAGAGGAGATAAGAAGAGAGAAGCATGTTTAAGGTCATTTTTAATTAATTTAATTTAAAAATTATTACATAAAATTTATATTTAAATTTCTTTTTAAATCTTATTAATTAAATAATAAAATTTGTAAGCTTATAATTCTTAAAATAACTTAATTAAGTAGGAAAAATTCAAGGTAAGCCACATTTTCCTTTTCACACTTCTCCTTCCAAGAAACAATTATCTAAGGTTAAAACCAGTTTAAAACTCTCTTAAAATGTTTATAAAAATATAATATTTAAATAAATTTATAGCATAAATTAATTATTAAGCGCTTAAAAGTAAAAAAAAATATATAGATAAGAAGGAAAATCCTCTAGCATCTTCATCTCCAGCATCCTTAATCCGCATCATCTCTTGATGCTTATATTTGTTTTTAATAATAAGTTTACTTTAAATTTTAAGGAAAAAAGTGAAAATTCTAGTAAATTTTTTTATAATTTATTCCCCTATTTAAGAGTATTTATAAAACATTCTTTCATCAAGAAGTAATCTAAACTGTAAAGAGTAGTAACTGATGTGTTTACAGTCACTAAAACACTTGTATAAATAGAGAAAATGTTTGAATTTTCACCAATATTTTAATCCATTAGAGAAATTAATTGATGATAATTAAATTTTGCACAGTTTTTAAATTAATTTACACTTAGAAATCTTTAATATATATATTTTTTTTTAAAGAAAAGAAGGAAGAAAATAGCATCTTACTTACAATCTCTCCATAGAGACTAAGTCTTGAAATGCTCCATTTTCGATCGTGTTAATTTGGTTGTCCATTAATTGTCTGAAAAAAATAAATTATTATTTTTTAAATATATTTTTTTAAACAATATTTAATTATAATTAATTAGTTTAAATAGAATATTTACTTCCTATGCAATTAAGCAATGGATGTTTCTGTCTAACAATTAAGAACTAAGATACATTCTTAAGCTTAACAAACTACTTTTATAACAATTATTACGTAAGAAACTACGTTTTAATGACCTATATACCGTTATTTTAACGATAATTAAGTCATTTTTAATAGCAATTAACTTATGGCACATCTCTATTAAGATTAAGCAATTTGTAAAATGAATTTTTACTAGAAAAATTAAGCACTAAAACGAATTTTTATGTATTATTAAAGTTTCTTTAACGATAATTATTGTAAATTATAATTTCCTGGCGCTATATCGAGGTTTTTTTTTCGTAAATTCCCTAAGCATCTTTCTCTCCCCCTACGCAATTCTTTACTAAGTGTGCCCGAAATTCCTATAGAATAAACAAATAATAAGGTAAAAATAAGGGTGGGAAAGCGTTTTATTTATGTTAATGACTAAGAATTATGACTGAACACACGTGGTACCACTGAGCTAAATTGCTGTAATACAATGCTTAACACCCAGTGTTGGGGTCATTATGGCACCACTCCTTTGGTCGAGCACTAAAAAGTGCTTTCTTCGCCACAATAAAACACTGTCAACCGTTTTCTTCAGCGAAAATTAAACACAAAGGAACCAATTTTTCTCACTGTTAAACCAAAAACAAATTTCCCTTAAAGGATACTCCAGTCTTACAAACAAATTTTGGTAGGAAATTAGTTTTAAAAAAAAATTCCCTAATTTTTATTTAAATTTAGTAAAATAAGCTAATGAAAATCTGTTAAATTCTTAGTTAAATTGATAAAAACTTTAACGTTTGTTTATTATAAGGAAAACTTTATATCTAAACCGTAATTAATTTACAAAATTAAGAAATTTTAAGATGTAACAATACTAAAAATCCTGAAATCATCACTTAAAAGGTGATAATTAAATTAGATTTTACCACTTACGTACAGTCGAACCTCTAAATCGCGACCAATATTTCCCCCAATAAAAATGTGAACAAAATAACCTCTAAATTAAGGACACCTCTAAACAGCGACCACTTTTTCAGGGTTCCTTTTATATTCTGAACAAAAATTCACACAAAATAACCTCTAAATTAAGGACACCTCTAAACAGCGACCACTTTTTCAGGGTTCCTTTTATATCCTGAAAAAATTCACACAAAATAACCTCTAAATTAAGGACACCTCTAAACAGCGACCACTTTTTCAGGGTTCCTTTTATATCCCGAACAAAAATTCATACAAAATAAACCTTTCAATTAAGAACACCTCTAAACAGCGACCAAAAATGCCTACAAACTAACCTTCAAACAACGGCCTTTCTATACGTTTCCTTCATTGTCTGCAATTTACAGGTGGACAGTAATTTTAAAAAATTAGTTTTTTTAACGAAAATTTAATTAAAACACTTCGAAAAACAGAAAATTCCTGGAACTTTCAGGAAGTTTAGAAACTACTTCTAGAAATGATCGTCGTCTATAGGGGTGTAGAAGTGTGGTAGAAGCTGCACGTGACGCAAAATCATTTAACAAGAAGAGGAATTATAAAGAAAAAAGAGGAGGAAAGTAAGTTACGTCTTCAGCAGATGATCAAGAAGTCAGTTGATGATCATGCAAAGGCGCATTAATTATATATCCATTGGAGAATCACCTCTTGACCCTCTCTTCTTTAATCTTTAATGACGTCTCTACAATTATTTGGCTTTGTACAGAAATCAAATTAGAGCTTGGCCCTTTGTTAGCGTCGTATTTTTTTATTTCTTCTGTTCTTTCTTGGCTCTTTAAATGGCTCTTCCGCTTAACTTAGTCTCAATGGTATAAACTATTTCTAATTAGAGAAAACGTACGAGTATGATGTTATCCATTAAAGAGATTATCCTTTGTACGAAATCCTTTTGTATCTTCATTAATGCATTGACCATGGGATTTTGTTTAATGATGAAGAGGATCTATTTGGATTAAATTATGGAGCGTTACATTAACAACCCAACATCCTCCTCCTCCTCCTCCTACTCTTCATCTGCGTGTTCTTTAAATTTTACATGGAAGCTATGGATTGTAGGGAAATTTTACGTGGAATTTTAAGATTTAGGAGTATTTTTGTAACGATTTTAATTAGGGAAATTATAATTAAGAAGATAATTTAGTAGAAATTTGCTTTATAAAGAGTTACATTAATAATCAAGAATCCTCCTCCTCTTCCTCTTCCTCTTCTGTTAAATTTTACATACCATTAAATGGTAAAGTTTAGCCTTTAAGGTTACACAATTAAAACCCTGTTTGGCCAGAAAAAGTAAAAACAAAACTGTTAAACTAGTTTAACCAGAAAACTTAATGTTAATTAAAGAAGGTTTAATGTTAATTAGGAAATTCACTCGCTCTTCAATAGAATCAAAAGTCTTTTAATCATAATAAAGTAAGAAATTATAATTGTATTATAGATCAGTAAAGCAGGACTAGTCTTTTGTTAAAGGTGCGGCCTGACTCATTCTCTTTCTCTCACCTCAGAGGTGAGGCATGAGGGAACGACCCCTAACTGGGGAACGACTATACAATGGCGTGAATGGCCACCTTAATACCAGCTTGTTAACAGCCCTTATTTTCTATTTATCGTAGCGTTGTCTGCCCTTTTTGGTCTAAAGATCATCTGTCTGATAGAGTCTGCATTTTGTTTTTCACCAGAAATACCCAGTCACACTGACTCAAGCACACAGAATCTTCGGTTTAAAGTTGAGAAGTTAACATTTTCCTTCGATTTTATGTATAAATAATTGTATAAAATCGATATTTTATTGATTAATTTAATAAATTTTAAATATATAAATATATTTTTAGTGTTTTTTAAGTATAATTAGAGCACGAAAGGGTAAATTTTAGTGAAGATTTGCAGCTTCTTCTCAATTAATTTATGCTCTTTCGTGGTTCCAATTCTTAGTGTTTTTTTTAAATATTTTAATAATTTCCACCCTTTAAAACGTATTTATAAACATTTTCTACAATAAATTCTATTCTATAAAAGTATTTTAATGCTCAAAATATTATAATTTGATTCTAAAAAATATCCTCTCAAATTTTATTTAACTATTTTCTTGTAAATTATAATTTAAATAAGATATAAATAAGTAGTTATAATTATTTTAAAAGGCATAAAAATTAATATAAAATAATTTAATTTCATTTATAAATTAATACTTTTTAAGAAAAACAATTGTAAAGTCGAGACTAGTCGACGACTGAAAGGCCTATAACAAGAACTTTTTAAATGCAATTTTACGTCATAAAATTAATGATAAATTTAAAAAATCTTTATAAAACTTACTTAAAAACTTATTAAATTAATTTTTTAAAGATTTTTATATTTAAAATTTACATTTTTTTTTAAAGAAAAACAACTTTAAAGTCGAAGAAAGTGGCGACTACACGATGACTAAGAACGTGGAGAGGAGAGCATTTTAAATGTAATCTTAACCCCTTAAAAGTAGTTATAACCCTATAGGGCTAAGTTTTCCGTGTAAGGACCACCCGAATTAACTCATTGAAAATCTATTCCAGCTCAAAAAAGCCAAGAGATCTATCTCCAGTAAACTCTTGTTCCTTCTCACAATAGAGTTCCAGTTTAGTGACATCAGGAGCCTCTGACATTCCCGAAGGTACCTCTTCAACTCCCTTACCTGAACCTCACACCTCTTTTTTTTTTTTCTTCTTTTTCTCTCCCTATCTTATCCTTTTCAATAAAAAGTACCGGATTTGAAATTACCACTTTAGTCGGGTACTTCCCGGTGCCACGTGCTTAAATTATTATATACTAAATGGTACTGTTGGATCCCTCAATAATTTCAAACTAAGAGCCGCGTTAAGTTGGATTTAGATGGTAAGAGTTTTTAAATTTTAATTTATTTCTTAATTTTTTTAAAAAATAATTCAAATGAAATTAATAAGAAGGTAAGAAGGTACTTACAAAATTTTCACTTTTTTCAATCCCTGAAAATCATCGTTCCTGATGATGCTTATGTTATTCCCTTCCAAATTCCTGGAAATTTAATAGAAAATTTAAGTTAATTTGCATAGAATTTTGATTTTTTTGTTGTTAATTTAATAAATTTAGAGTATTTTTAAATACAGTAAAACCTGTTTAAAACGGAAACCTGTCTATGCGAAAAGAATTCTTTGAAAACAGAGCGATTTTTTGCATTAAAAACCTGCTTAAAACGGAAACCTGTCTAAGCGAAACGAATTCTTTGAAAACAGAGCGATTTTTTGGGTTAAAAACCTGCTTAAAACGGAAACCTGTCTAAACAAAACGGTTTCTTTGAAAACAGAGCGATTTTTTGGGTTAAAAACCTCTTTAAAACGGAAACCTGCTAAATCGAGAAACTATTCGGCATCATGCGAGTCCGGTTTACACAGGTTTTACTGTAAAAATTACTTATTATTATTATTTATTTTTAATAAAAATTATCATTAAAGAATTCATTTTTGCTATGAAAAAAATATTTAATTTTAAACAATTCGAGTTAATTTCTTTTAATTTTTATACATTTCAAAGCTTAATTATAAATTAAATTTAGTATATTTATTTAAAAAACATGTAAAAATAAAATAATTTTTCTGATACAATATTAATTAATTTTTAATTAAGCTTATTTTTTTTTAACACAGTTAAAGTACTGAATTTGGGTGGGATTTTTTAAATAAAATTTCCCTAAGATATTAGTTTAAAAATTCAATTTTATATTTCCTTTCTAAATTATTACAATTTATATATTTTTTAAAATGTTATTTTTAGAAATTATTTACATAATAAAACACGTCAAAGCAATCATCAAGCCAAGTATCTTTCTAGCATCACTTACACAAAAGAATTCTTAATTTAACTAATTTAAAATTAAAAAATAAATACGCATTAAAACTTAAAAAAAAAGTATATTTTATAAGCTTTAAATCAGCTTAAACCATAAAAAATTCGATTAAAAAAGAGCTTCTCCAACCGATAAAGCATCATCATTCATCTTAAGCTACTTCGCGCTAAACGGGTATTTGCAAAACAATAGAAAAGTATTGAAATTAAGTTAATTACAAAAGAATTAACGATAATATAAATAATTTTAGGGTAATTTAAAGTTGTATTATTGTAAAAAAAATTAATAATAATAATAATAATGAATTATATTTAAATACAAGAGCCATTAACGAGTAGAGAGGATGGGGAGGATGGAGATCAGAGTAAATGCTAAAGAGAAAAAGAAAAAGAAACAAAAAGGTAAATTGCTTGTGAAGGAAAGCGAAAGCGGAAAATAATCCTTTTCGATGTTTGTGTGTTGTTTGTTTGGAAAACGATACTTTACACTCTGTACAGAAATAAAACACCTGTTGTTTTCTTCCAGTGTAATAAATTCGCTAGCATTGGCTCACCTGACACAGCAACATTCTCTTTATTGTTTACAAGAAAAGATTGGGTAAGGTACAACTCACCCTTGGGAATTCTAAGGTGAGGTACAGTTCATATTTGTTTCTGTCATCCCTATAACTTATAGTGGGTAATTCCTTTCAATTCTTTTTTTTTTTCTTTATCCCCTTCTCATACGCCCGCGTACACATAACGTACTATATACGCGCTCATTTTTGAATCTTTTCTTTACTTTATTTACTGTATAAAATTAGATTGTGCGTACAAATTGAAGCTATTTTAGAAATTTGTATCTTAACTTTTTTATGGTGTATATCCTGGGATTGGTCGTAAACTTAAAGGACTGCAATTCCTTTTGCTAAACTTTGTATGAGATAGGTTGGTGTTATGGGGATGCTTTAAAGGATCCTTCTGCTCGCTCCTTATTAGAATTCCTATGAGACTACCGAGACGAATTCGACATAATTTAAAGAGGAGAAAACGGTAAATATTCGTGGTTTTAAAGGTTTTTTTTTACCTCTCCCCCCTCCCCTTCCTCCTCTTCTTATTTAAAAGTTACCTTCGAGGGTTTTTTTTTTCGTAAATTTTCAGTAGATTTTTCAGTTTTTTACCCTCATAGCGGGTGAAAAATAATATAAAACGTAAAAAATTCCCTTCAGTTTTAAATGTATAATGTTTTTATGTGTTATATACCTTAAAATAGAACTGCGAATAAGAGAAGCGCGACGCGTCAAAGGTAAATGAAGCGAAATAATTAAACTAAAATTACGATTTAGCTAGTTTAAATAATACAAATGGCTGAAAATTATAATTTAAATAAATTAATATATATATATTTTTTAAAACTATATTATAATACCACTTTGAATATATATTTTTTTCCATTTACGC